CTGCTCACAGAGACATGAGGAAGGAAAGAAAAGCAGAAAGGAAATGAGAAGTCTGGAGTGCGTGAATCAAGATCCAAGATGTTTATTTCAAAACTTGGCCATCTGCAGTATATTTTATTGTTTCTGTAGTGATCATAATTTGGATGATGAGCTAAGCAGTCGCATGCTGAAGTATATAAAAGGTAAAATCAGACACCATATTCTCTGTGATTTGAATGCGCTATGCTTGCTTGTTCTGTCTTTAAACTACCTAATATATTTTATTGAAGTTTAATATTGCGCAGTATATGCCAAAAGCTGTGGATAACTTCTTGTTTTATTTGTTTGTATTGTACATTACATAATGTTGAAATCAAACTTTACCTTGACACTTGTACGTAGAAGAGGATTGACTTAAATCAAACTTTATGACTCGTTCAAAAAACCTGGCATATGACTTAAAATATAACTTACTAAGGCCTGTTTGCTTGAAATATTTTCTGTTATGGTGAATATACAATAAATTGTAGGAAGGAAAAATAATTTCTGACTCTACAAAACTGATATCTATTGTATGATAAGCTTTGCAACAATATATTTCTGTATGCAATAAATGAACATTGAAACTAACAAAGTATGACTTACAGAAATGTGTGTTCTCAAAATTGGAGTACATCTTTTCATGCTTGTTTCATCTCTCTCTCTCTCATCATGTTTTTTCCAGGCAGTATGAGAAACTGGAAAGTGCAAGATGACAGACAGCAGCTGTTGAAAATTCTGAGACACGTGTTTCAGTGCACAAAGTGCTGGGATTGTCACAGCACAGATTTGGGGAAGATATTAGACTGTACTGTCAAGAATTACAAGACAGCTTATGAGCATGGCCTGTTTGAACTCTTGAGTGATCTTGCTGTAACTCCAAACCAAACACATCTGTACAGGTACTATTACTTTTCTGCATGCACGTGTTTCTGTCTCCACATCCAGACTTGTTCTTAGGCCCACCCAACCACCTCTACACTGGATGCTGAGGGCCGCTTCTGTCTTTGTCCATGTGTTTAAATACAGTTATAATCTGTATTTTTATCACATCAGTCACAGATGACGGAGGCAGAGACAGTCTCCAAAATGTTGGAGACTCATTTTGTACTGACGTGGTTGATCACCTGAGAATATTTAATTGCATTCCAGCCTTTTATACATTTATAAATATTTAATAGTTGTACATTTGCACTCATTGTATCAGACTGTAGTGTACCAGGACAAGTCTTAAAAAAATGTTTTTTGTATGAAGTCTTTATTTTTTTTATCATTTGATACAAAGTTTTTGGATTTTGTTTAGGTGTGCAGGCTTTCAGGAATGGGTGGAATCTCTACCAGAACTGCTGTGTGCTCCTACGATCCCTGCCACAGCTGTTGGGGTATTGGCAAAATTTGCTTGCCAAAACAATCCGCTCTTCTACAAAAGCTTGTGTCAAAAACTGCCTGACATTCTTAGTAAGTCAATTATAGTTTTCTTATGTCTCAAGAATTATGAAAACTTAATTGTGTATGTTTGGTCATTTTTAAGTTTAGATTATGTTTCAGTCACTTGGTAAAGTGACCTATGGTTCTTCTCTTCACGGTTGTTTAGACTGGTTTTGGGTCCCATGTAGCTTTTCCTCTGTACAGTGGGTATACAGGGCTAAAGTGGTATAGTGTAGAAGTGAACATAATGAAGGGGGGAAGGGCATTTTGTAATGTGTAGCCATGTGAATGAACCTTCAAGCAACCTATTTTCATGTCATGCCACCTTTCCCTGCATTATTTAAGTTAGTGCAAAGTCAGAGGTTTTCAGTGCTGGTAGTATGAAAGCCCTGATAAATGGTAAACCTTGATTTTGGTAATGAATGTTAAATTAGTTTTAAGTTCTGTTTGTATTTTAATTCTGTAATGAGTTAACTGTTATAAAATTTTGTTTTAACAGATAATTTGTGCAGCGTGATAGTGACTGGAGCAGGTAATGAATGTGAAGGCAGAAAAAACATCAGTAACATCCTGTACTGGGTGAAGGACTGGTCACGAGATGCAGTGACATCATTATCAAATCTCCTACGGAGTGAAAATTGCGATAACAAATTAGCTTCACACATCACTGATTTGTTGGCATCACGGTATGTTGATTTGTAACAATAAAACCATGTTTTATTTTGTAATTGTGTAAAAGTAAACCCCCCTGATACTGAAATGAGAGATAAAATTTTAGACATTCCTTGTCAAAAATACACATTTAGGAGTGTTCAGCTGTTATTACATTCAAATGACATAGGTAAAGTTGTCCCTGGTTCTTAACTATTTTATGACAACACAGCGCAGACAGGGACATAGACCCCACAAATGCAATAATGTCCTGCTTACCATTTGCTGCATGCCACTCGTTTGCTGAAGTACATATGTAAGTTAAGTTATAGACTGGTTCTGAACATGGAATAACTGGACTTACATGATACAGAACAGCTGATTGTATTCATCATTGTTCCTCAGAACAATACATAGTGCCTTCTTGTTTTGATTTGACACACTGTTACATCAAGCTTCAAATTCAGATCTAAACACTTTAGCTTCATTGCCATAATTAGGACTGAAAATGTTTAACTTAGGCAACATATTATGCAATGAAACAATCAAATGTTTCCAAACATTGCATTACAAATACAGTTACTTCAGGTTCAGCCACTGGCCTGAGCAGATTGCTTACACATGTACATTATTGTGATATAGATTAGAAATATTACTCCTCTTACACCAAAGAATGGTATGACCAACTGGCAATGTGAAATTTTCTCAGAGAAAATGAGAATTGGTTCCATGTCATAAGACTTTCCTCATTGGCTAAAACTTGGAGGGAGCAAGATACAGTTACTGTCTGCGTAAGTTTTCTCGGCAACTGAACTGCTTCGCAGTAATTTGGGCTCTGATCTTTATAGTTTATAAAACAGAGTGGCAAGGCAGATATTCACAGACCAGAAGTGTGTAGTGGAATTTACTCCTTAGCAACAAGTGCAAACTGCTTATACTGTGCATACGATAGAAAAGTTTATTTTGGATGGTATAACTGAAAAGATCATGTCAGCTAACATCCCACCATTCTGGTTACCCCTTCTTCGAAAGAAGATAAATGGCACAATAGTACATTCTGCAATGCAGACATTTTTCATCTAGACTAGAGAGGCATAGAAGGATAGGCTAAGGGTACTTTTACTGACCATCACGTATAAACGGCATCAGCAGTAAAACTGCAAATACAAATCATCCAAAAAAAGTCCCAACAAAAGTGGTGACTAGATGAGAATCTTTTTATGATGTAGGTGCTGGAGAAGAGCTCTTTTTGTATGACGTATTCACATATGTTAAGAAGTTAATGTAGCCAACTGTAGTTTACTATAACGTTCTCATTATAGGCCATACTTAGTTCTGATACGGTTACAATGTAATTATGTACGTCTTTATTCTTATGTTACTGCACATTCTAACCAAGAAATCTTGCAACAGCGATTGAGATTTGGATGTCAGTCATATATATTCTATAACTCATCTGCAGCATTAATTAAAATCTTGGCAATTTAATATTAATCCAAATATACAACACAATATAAATCCAGGATATCTGTTTACCATAATATAATACCCAGTGTGAAATTGATTGTACTGCTTAAAATACAAGTGTTTATTAGTGACTACAGGATTATTTGATCTTAACTATTTGAAATTGAATGACTTGGGGCAAATTACATATTCTGTGACAAATTCTGATGTAAGACTGAACAATAAATTTGACAATTCTGAACTAAGGCAGTTTCTTAAAGACATATGAACTTCACTCTTCCATCCTTACAGTCACACAACACACGACCTTAAAAGAATTTAATTCTCACAAAATCCAAACTCTTGAGGATTAGTTCTCTCAGTCACATTAATGATTTCTTTTACTTTACTTTGTTAACATATGCATCAAGTTCTGCATCCAGTTCTTCTGCAGTTGGAACAGTTCTTGGTTGGCCTCTAGAACTTCCTCTCCCCCCTCGGCGCATACCTTTGGGGGAAAACATTATTTTAGTTTCAAAATTAATCTCATCATTCCACAGCACATTATTTCTCTTATAAACACAGATACTGAAGAAGAATTGGGAATTAAATGGGACTGAACACTGGTTATTCATAAACTTCAAGAACATTTGTGATTCAGTTAGGAGGGAAGTCCAGTATTATGCAACATTCTCATTGAATTCAGAATACCCATAAAATTAGGCTAATTAATGTATTTCAACAAAGCAAACATGTTCTGCATAAGTGAAATTTCTATGATGCATAACCTATTCTGAATGATCTGAAACAGGGATATGCTTTATCACCTACATGATTCGGAATGGGAAACACCTCATATTAGTAATAAACATATGTAATCAGAAACCAATTTAACCTTAATTACTTGCATTAGAATTCAGTGAGTGAAATTAGTTCAGGTTGCTGACTAAAAATTGGATTTTGTCAACAGAATTTACATGCAATTACTCAAGATCAATATTATTAGACATTGTTTTGTTGTACACACACACACAACATACTAGATGTCTTTTATTATCATATTTTTAAATTATCTTGGTATTAAAAACATACGAAAATCTAATGCAATTGAGACAGATTTTATGCTACAAAAAATAAAAAATACACATTCACCTCTTCCTCTACCACCCCCTACTCTTGATTGTGTCCGACCTTGTGAATAACCACTAGATCCAACTCGACCTCCTCGCAGAACTGAAGGTATTTCTGATGTAGCCATTTGAATGTTCATAGCTCGTCCTGCAAACAGTCAAACGTAGTCGGTTTAGTTAGTTCTCTGTTTATTTAATAGGTCTTCATATATTTTATTCATTATATACATCATCAACAGAGATACTAAAAGACAGTTCTTAATTTTGTGTTATTATCTCTCTTAAAGTACTTCCTATTAATATACATACCATCCAGAGGCACTCCATTATACTGTTTCATTGCCTTAATGGCATCAGATTTCCTCTCAAATATAACATCTGCTGATCCCAATGACCGACCTGATCTGTCATAATGAACAGCAGCAGACTTCAGTGGTCCAAATTCTGCAAATAACTCCTATAAACAAAAATATTTGCTTCAGCTATCATATTAATATTTACAAACACCCAAAATAAATAAATAATGTCATAGCTTTAATTTCTCCATGGTTAATTGCCATTAAAGATCAAACTTCACTAAAACAGTGCTAAAACAAAGTATTTCTGATTAATTATTTCTCAGTGCATTTAGTACTTAACTGCAGAGGCTATGTATTACTGATTGGAACATAATTGTGAATTATGGGAGGGATGATAAAAGAAAAAGGTCAAGGTCTTTTCAGATGCCATCCCATTACTTGCTTGGATGGAGTAAGGAAGAGCACAAAAAATATAAAATACTTGTAAATCATAACTGGTAGTCATTTATGTACCTATGGACTTTATCAATAAATATTACAGCAAAAGTCTTACCTGAATGTCAGAGTCGGAAACTCCAAAATCCAGGTTGGACACAAGAAGTTTGGCAGGTCCACCGAGGGAACCTCCAATTCCAAATCCACCAATCCGGCCAATTTTCTTTGTTCCTGAGCCATCAAACATATCATGCTGCCATTTGCTATTTATGTCACCCTGAAAAAACAATTTATGTTCAAGGCTGTTCATGAAAATTAGTAATTGGTTACATTTTAAAATCTTGTGTAAGAAACTAAACTAAACCCCCCAAATGGAGGGTTAAAACACTTGACCAACCCCCTTTTGGGGGGGTTGGTTGCGTTTTAAAATCTTGAGTAAGACACTAAACTCGGCATTGTTGTGTTGTACTCGGCATTGTTGTGTTTCACAACAATGCCGAGTTTGTTTATAGTTGACATTGTTGATGACGTAATTTATTGACGACGACGAAATCACAAATTTTTATAATAGATACTACCTCCATCATCAGCCCATAACACAGGAAGAGTGGTTTTACAGAAATATATTACCAAATGATTTTGGATAACATTGTGGAAGTTGCATAGTAAGATATATGTGACATACCCAACACACTTCAGAAGCAAAAGCAAAAAAATGTTTTTCATCTCCTAAGTACATGAAGATCTACACACAAGGAATGAAGAGCAGCTCCACTGTTCAGCATTATGGAATATGAATGCTGACTGGGCCAAAAATCTTCAAATATGACACTCTTAGTGCATATTAGCTGATGAAATTATGCTTGTTACAGTTCCAGGGTTCCAAAGTCTAAATATTGTGCTTTCTTTGGTAAATGAGCTATTCAACTTCTAAATACTTTACTATATATAAGGTGACACTTTTTATTTCGGTTAGTCAGAAGCCCTTGCTAATACACAAGTCTGATCTGCAGAATTAAATATATAACTTGCAAATAACATGACTGAACTTTACATAACCTATTTCACCTTGCTAAACTGATGTAAACATTAAGCTTCTATGAGTATATAAATTGCGACTTTCTCGAAACTTACCCTTGAGTAAGGGGTAGACCGTGAAATACTGCCCCTGCGAGGACTCCGTAAAACACCCAAATTTCCTCGAAGACTGCCCCGACTGCCTCTGCGTGATAAACCAGAGCCCCTTTGTCCACCTCTTCCTCTACGACCGGCCGGCCCTCGAGTCTGTTTTGATGACTTTATTATATCATCAAGACTCATTTCAATTTTGTCAACCATTGTAAGATAATGTACCAACACAAATAACAACTAGTACAGAACCAAATAATGTTCAAAACATATGACCGTACCAAACCTCCTCTATATTCTCACACACCGTACTATTCCAACAAATGGCGGCAGTCCCGCTTAGCTTCCAACAGGGAACGCTGGGAAAGTGAGATTGAAACAAATACAATCGTCACAGCGAAACCCTCAGGCATGAAGATGTGGGGGGAAAGTGATCATTTATTTTAATTGGAGAAGTTTGTAGTATTACACTGTTTATTATATGTTTACGTTGAAATATACAATTAGCTACAGGTACAGATTATTGAAACGTTTTTGCTCTTCGTACAATCTTTGCTATTGCATATGTGCGTTTGAAATTAAACGTATTATTGCAAACATTTCCTTTTTTTAATTTATATAATTGTGTGTAATATTCCGAGTCCTCAGCCTCAGGGGTTGAAAGGTAGGCCTCACTGTCGTACATTTTTATATGTGTGTTCGTATTAAACATGATCTTCAGAACAAAATGCAACAATTTTAGGTTTGTGTCATTTTCTTAAGATATGAATGTTGTAAATTCACTTGGTTAAATTTACATTCGAGGTTTATTTCGTTTCTAGATCTGTGTTGGCAGTCTGTGAACCAACAAATTTTGTGTTCCACCTACTTCCCCAAATTGTTATTGAATTAGAGTTTTCTAACAAAACATTCTGAACTTGGAAACAATATGGGTGGATTTATTTGTAATTTATCTCTACTTTATGTGAACCCTTTGTATTTTGTGACATTTATATAATAGTATGACTTGTATTTGTATAACATGTATTGTATTATTATGACTTATTCTACATCCTATTGTCATCTGACTAACTTATGGATCCATGGAATGTAATAAAGATGTATGTATGTATGTACACTTCTGGTATTAAGTGTCTGGTGTGTGTGTATGTGTGTGTGCTTGCGCACGTGTTCACTTCAACAACACACCGCGAATACTTGGGGAGCGGAGGTAAAGCTCCACACATTTTTAATTGTGGTGCTGGATGGAAGCAAATGATCAGTGGCTTGTTCCAGCTGCTACATTTTGGTTGTAAGGTATGGGTCAGCTATAAGTTTGAAGCTAGTTGTCTTCTGGGTTGTTGGGTTGTTGCGCTGTGTAATGTGTTACATGTTTCACATGCTAAATTTTTATGGTTAGGGGTTGTTAGCCCTGTGTCCAGCCCAGCAGGCTGGAGGACCATCTGTGTAGACTGACTGGAACTGCAAAAATTTTAATATTTGTAGGTTCATTCAATCTACACCCTGAGGATGTGCTATGGCATGGTGAAGGGACCCACATGACATGGATTTTCTTCACACAGTTTAATAGGAAATATTTGTTTACTTTACAGCAAACATCTATCATATCATGGCTGCTGGTGAAGGAAATCTTATTTTGGGTATTGACATTGGCACAACATCAGTGAAAGTTTGCCTTGTGGACCCAAACAACAAACAAGTTTTGTCAAAGCAGACTAAAGACACACAAGCCAATGTCCCAAGTGATCTGGGCTCTGAGGGCAATAAGCAAGATGTTCCAAAGATCATATCAGCGCTCAACAGTTGTGTCTCCAGACTGCCGAAAGATCAATTAAAACAAGTGAGAGATTTGTATCCATTTCATATTCACTTTTTATTGACACAGTGTAAAAATATCCTAAGACATTGATTGTTGAAGTAGTGACTTTTGTAATTTCATTTTTATCTTTGTTATTTAACTGTTTCATGTTCAAAGCTCAACACTTTACATCTTGGTAAGGTGCTTTCCATAGGTTACACTGCATATGTTTATCAAGTCAAAACATATCTATCAACTTGTGTTATAAATTTATCCAATGAAATTGGAAATGGAGCAAATTAACAGAAATGAACAAGTGTGAACTTTACTATTATTTTTATAATTTGATCCTTAGGTGGGGCGCATTGGTATTTGTGGGCAGATGCATGGTGTTATGTTGTGGTCTAACAAGGAAGATAAGAAAGCTTGGGACTGCATTGAAACATACATGGGATGTAGGTTTGAGATTCCCAAAGAGAATGTATCAGCTCTATATACCTGGCAAGATACACGCTGTGAGCGATCATTTCTTGATACACTCCCTGTGCCCCAGTGTCATCTCCCAACATATTCTGGTTATGGATGTGCAACTCTCTTCTGGATTACAAGAAACAGGTTAGGAACACCATTATCACCGTTAAAGACTTGTTCCAGTTGTTTACCTTATCACCTCACAGTCGTATATGAGATTGGTCAGTACGTGGATAAGAGACGCCACATGCCAGTGGCAATGATATCAGTTATATTGTTAATTTGGATAAGGCTGAAAATGACAATTTACTGTTATTGAATGAAAATATATTAGTTGTCTGTGTAGTGTACATTTTTATTTTGTCCAATTGTGGGAATTAGAAGAGTCATGCAATATTTTATATGTATATTTATATGTGATTTTCTTTATGGAGTATGCAACTGAAGCTAGTATCAGTTTCAAAATACTCTTGCCATCGTCCCATTTGCCAAGTACATTTATAATTCCATGCAGTTTCCAGCCACCTGTCTTCACCCATTCTGAAAATATGGACTGTCCGTCTGTTCGTGTTCTGAATGTAGTAATCTCATCAACTGTATTATTGACCTGAAAGTTTTACATATAATTTATTCATTCTTTTTCTTTTTTGGCTGATTGTGTTTATTCAGCTAAAGTTTCTGAACTTCTGTTCTTTCATCCAAGTCATTCCATGTATATATGTGTCACTGCCGCTTCTTACTTCTGGATTAACCGATATTTTGTATGCTTAAAATATGTTCTTACATTTAAAACTCAGTTTTGCTTTTAACACATTGTTTCTCAGTCAGTAGTCATGTAGCTTAATTTACTTTGGTCTGCAAATTCTAGTTAGCATTGTACTATATAATACATTACAATTTTGCTCTTGCTTGAGGTGTGATTTCTTCATAACTCTTACATCTGCATGTTCTTTGTAATCAGTTGCTGGTTGAAAGATTTCTTGACTTCATTTTTATGTTGGAGAAATAAAGGAGGCGAGGTTGGTATTTCTTAAATAACAAGAATTATAACGAAGATGACTGTCTTCTGGTATGTTGTACCATGTAGTCTGGTAGAAGTTTACCAACATTTGAGAGGTACTTTGCTCTTATCATCAGGCCAGTAACTTACTTATTACCCTGGTGATGGAGGCAGTAAGCACCTCTGAATTGTCAGTGAACTTCTACTGTAATACATAGCACAACATTCCAGAAGATGGCCATCTTCGTACTTGCCGCTGTGAGAAACTGAAATCTCAACAATGATTCTCTAAACTTTTCTGACAGTTGTTTATTACACCACAGTTATGTCTGGGATATGTTTAATGTACATGATGTTTCATGAGTTGACTATACTCCCATCTTCAGGTTATTGTTTGTCATATTAGTTGATATTTTTGTTAATTTTTATTTTTAAAATTAGTAGTGGGTGGGATCAAACCTGGAACCCTCTGAATACTAAACTCATATATAACAAGCATCAAATTAAGTATTCAAACCATTCAATATTTATATTATTTATAAAATGGAACAACTGACTTGCCCTGGTTAGCCAGTGGAAACAAATCAGTAACTAATTATATAGTATAGTATTTTCTTATTTAACCTGTATTTCTGCACTGTACAGACCTGACAAATTGGAACGCTATAACAGAGCTGGAACGGTGCAGGATTTTGCTGTGGCAATGCTCTGTAACTTGGATCATCCCATCATGTCAGTTCAAAATGCAGCAGGGTGGGGTTACTTTAACACCTGTGTGGCAGAATGGAACTCTGATATTTTACAAGGGGCAAGCTTTCCAACACATTTGTTACCACATATTGTGAAATCAGGTGCAATAGCTGGAACTTTGGATCGGCCATGGTATGGAATCCCTAGTGGAACTTCAGTAGGTAATGTCAGTAGTGACCACCGTAGAAATCTAGATCAGATACTGTGTACTGTAGCTCTCTCGTTGCTTCTTGTATGCCTCACACTTCATTCCTTAATGCTTTTGTCACCATAGCCATTCAGCCTCAGTTCTTCTTCAGAATCAGAATTAAAAACCAACTCTGATCTCTTTTACACCAAAATTACACAAACTTTTGTCATGGCGCTAGCTGCAAAATTACTGTTTGAAATACATTGAACACAAGTCCATAAGGATAAAAATCAAGGCCTCCTTTAACTCTTTAATGCTGAATTGTACTATATGTACCAGCTGATCTAACAATTGGTAATTCTGCATTTTGTGTTTTGTATGATTGTCAGTGTAAACAGCATCAACTGATTTATCTTTGTAATGGTGATGAGTCATGTTTTCTTTGTGGCATGGACTGAATTCTTAAATATTGTTTAGACGTGCTTCAGCTTCAAAGGGTTAATAATATCACAGAGCCAAAGTATTATCTGCTCATGCATGTTTATTTAAAGTCTCAGTTACAGGTAATATCTTAACGACCCATGGTCATAATGTAAAATGTATTTCTCGTCTGTTTGAGGTAGGAAAAAATACGAGCATTAAGATACTGATTGCTGCCCACAGGGGCAGCATTGGGAGATCTACAGTGTTCAGTGTTAGCTACAATGCAGAAACCTGATGATGCTGTTCTTAACATTTCAACATCAGCACAACTTGCATATGTTATGCCTCCACAGTTTGAACCCAACATCCAGTGTCCAGGTATGACTGTTCATAGTGGGTACTTAACTTTCTGTAATCCAGTTTACCAGTTTCAGAGTAGGAATAGTTTGTATTAGCAGAAAATGCTGTAGCAATTGGCTGTTCTTTGTCCACAGTTATGTCTTGTTATGTGCTCTGACTGTATTAACACAGACCTGCTTACTGCAGCATCTGCCAATATAAATTATGTTTTCTAAATATAATTGCTGCTTGTGGATAACAGATTTTATGTTCAGAAGGATTAAAATGATTTGTGAGGTGGTTGGCATTGGTTGGTGTCTAGAAGCAGACCTACTATGAGCCATTCCAACATCAGAAATGAAGACAGTACTAATTATACATTTATATATGCATAAAGTTTTGCTTTGTCAAATTTGGTAGACTGATGAATTTTTGATTGGTCAACATGGGATTGTTTTATTGAAAGATGAACCAAAAAAAATTCTGTGTGCTTGGGCTGAATGAACCAAAAATTAAATTGAGTGATATTTTTTTCTGTCTGCATTTTTACACAAAAAGTCTTGGCAGTCTTACGTGGTAATTTCATGTACTGGGTTGGCACTAAGTGTATTAAGGAGAAAATAATTTTGCATTGATTTAGAGAAGGTAATGAAGTGGCTTGTCAAGTTGAAGGTAAAGTTGCTACCCTACTTAAGAAGTGAACTATTAAGGCAAAAGTAGAGTTAATAAAGGTTAAGCTTCACATTTTAACTTTTGCTCTATTTTAATATGTTTCTTTTTGTATGTGTAGTTGTTACACCAGTGGAATACTTTCCATATTTTGATCAAAAGTATTTGGCAGTCGCTGCATCTCTCAATGGGGGCAATGCTCTGGCAGCATTTGTTTGTATGTTACAACATTGGACCCATGAACTTGGCTTCAATGTGACTCAGTGTGAGTGTTGTCTCTTTTGTTACTCAGAAAGTGTACTGATCAGGTAAACAAAAGCTGTGAGAAGAATTTGTGATGCCTTTTTTTTTAAAAAAAAAAAGGCTTTGGTTTATATGATGAGAGTAGCAAGGAAAAAAGTAAAAATTACTATAATTAATATTTACACAATTTAAGGATCAATTTCTTTGCAAAATTTTCACAAATTCTGAATATATTAAATTTGCCCAATATAATCTTAAATTTTGCACAATTCCCATTTTTGTAATTATTAGTAGAACAAATGTTTCATGCAGAATTTGTCTACATGTTTATGATTTATTAGCAAACAAACTGTCACAGATTTAATAGGAATTGTTTCTTAGTTATTGCCATCAGACAAAGTTAAACCCAACTGTATTTTATATGTAACACTTCATCCTTAATGAACTCTTAATTATTGATTGTAATTTTGTATGTATTGAATTAATGTTTTGTATGCATCTGCAGTAAATCTTAAAAACAATGTAAGTAATAACATACTTTTCACCTGTTTACTGACACATACACGTTAGTGCTACAAGAAACAAACTTTGAATTGTTTTCAACTACTCAGGTTCTAAAAATGAGTTTGTAGCATTATACATTATTTATATTTTTTTCCACACCACACTCTAGCAACAAGTACATACCAAATAAATCACTTTATGCATTAAACTATATATGGTTGCTTGTTGATGAAACAGTGATGGTATATTGATTACTATTATACCATTTTATGCTGTCTTAGCAACTACCAGGAAAGAGTTTGTAGAGTGATTAGATTTGAAAATCACTGCTCTTTACCATTTATTTAAGTGTGATTTATGGTTTAGCAGTGAATTGATATGTGATAGTTAATAATTTTCATCCCTGTGAAAGAAAATAAGTTTATCTTTTGCTCATATTTTGTGGTACTTCTGATATATGCGTTGTTCAATTGACAGCCAAGATATGGGACACAGTTCTGAGCCTGGGTGGACAGGACTGTGCTGTGTCATCCTTGCGGGTTGTGCCAACTTTGCTGGGAGAACGCCATGTGCCTGAACAGAATGCATCCATTTTAAATGTTGATCCAGGTACTTTGGGTTTGGGCCAAGTATTTCAAGCCGTATGCTCTGGACTCATAGAAAATTTATATGGGTAAGTCAAGAACAGACAGAAAGAAAAAACAGAGAGGCAAAATCAAATGTTCTACAATTCCATAGTTGACCAAAGTGAATGTAGCTTCTGATGATGGAGGTGGAGATTGTTAGAAAAAAATAGTTTCATTGGGATTGCTGATGACCGAAGAAGACTATTTTGTTTTCTTCCTTTCAGACGACATTTCATGATTTGTTTTTAGAACCTAGGTTATTTTGTCACCTAAGTAAAAGAATCAGACCATATCACAATGGAAAATTTAAAAAATACTCAATAAAGTAGTGTATGTTGTTATCTAAAATTAAGCTCTGAACAATTGTTTTTAGCATGATGCCTCGACAGATGCTAGTGGCCTCCAACATTGAGAGAATAATTGGTATTGGATCTGCCCTCACACGCAATAAAGTTCTACAGAAGCAGGTACAAGAATGGTACAAACTTCCTGTTGACTTCATGTCAGGAGGTGATGCAGCCATGGGAGCAGCCTTGGCAGTGGTAGAATGCCAGTAAATTGCATTCTGAGGTAAAACAGGGTTAATGGCTGTAGCTATAGTACAGTGAAAAATGCTGTTGACAGCTGATAAAATGTAAATAAATGCTTGTAGTAGATATTTATATTAACGGTTAAGATGTGAACAAATGCTTAAAGAAGTTAGCAATTGATGTGGTGCTTTCTGAAAGATTAGAACCTACAGGTTTTAGCACTGCATGTTATTTGTAGATGTGTTAGATACATCAGTGTACACATTGTGCAGGCCAGGTTATGATCATTTTTCTGTTATCATTTCCACACAAAAATATTCTGCATAGTGACCATTTTGTTAGTTTGTGTTTCCCTGAAATAAATAGTATGTTTATAAAAACTGCACCCTACTCAATAATCTACCATCTTAAAGACCTTGAGGACCAAACCTCAGCTTTGTTATCATAGTGACATCAACTTTAAATATCGCTGTGCTATTTTTTTCTAACCTTAATAACCATCATGACATTTACCTTGTAAAGGTCAGTTATTAAATATAAGACTGTGAAAGTGCAAAGGGAAGTGTAAGTGTAGATGGATGTGAGTGGTCAGCTTCATGCAATAGTCAGGAATAAAACTTCCAGTAGAATGGGTTTGAAAGTGGTGAAAATTGTCTTGTCATCTAATATGTTTTCAGTCACTTTGTTGTCCAATCTTTTATCTACCTTGTATTTAGGATCAATGAGAACTCCTTAATGGTCTGTTTTCAATACTATTATCAGCTGTCATATGAGTTTCTCGCTGTGTCTGGCAGTACGGAGTGCTGCCTTTTGTACATATCTGTATATGATTAAAATGTGTACCATTATGTAGCAAGTACTGAGATCTAGATTCTGTACAGTTGCATTTGTTACTTGTAGTTTCTGTTCAAGTACAATAGTCTGTCTGACTTAAGGAATAGACTGTTGCTCCTATAATAATAAGAGCATTGTGATGTGTAACAGAGTAGTGATTGTAATTCATTTTGCCACAACAGAAACCAGACAACATAGGGTTAACCTGTTATATCTTGTGAGCAGGGCTATGATAATGTAAAAGGGGGAATACTGTAAAGTAAATCTATAAATTTCATATGAGTGACTAAACTTTTAGTTGCTTTCACTCTTGTCATGTGGAATAAACATCCAGCCCAGTTTGAAGAACTTTACACAGAAAATTTGAATTTTTACAGGTGATGCCATTTTAAATAAAAGTCTATAAGACTACAGTATATTCTTAATGTAGAATGCAAGTTAGTGATAACTTGCCATGTCCCATTGTTAATGCAGAAAAGTGCAGTTAGTTTGTATACACAGTGCCATATGCACCATATACTAGATCCTTTTCAGTGAAGGAATGTGTATTAGGCAAGACTTGCTTGCTTTTGGAACAAATTGTAGATTTTATTATAGCTGTGGGAGGATATGATCTGATGGGGTTTGATATTAAAGCTTTACATACATAATTATGTCCAATGGATTGATAATTATGCTATTCTACTTAAGTATTTATTTTCTGTAAGTTTTAAATAAGGAATTCAGTCATTGCAACTAATACAATTAAAATGTATGGAAGGCCTCTGAGGGCCACAAATAATACTGTGATATAGTGTTGTTTTAAGTTTATTTGTGAAGTACACCCTGAGGCCAGTGAGGTTTACTTGTCTGCTAATTGTGAAGGTTACCCATTATTGGTGGTTGTATTACACTGTCCATACTGTCTCTGTCTTCATTATTTATTATTTTAATGAACTTGCTGTACCCATATTTCCTTTTGTGGCTACTGTCTTTGAAAACTCTTTCTTTGCTTTACATTTATTTGATTCATTCTGTTAGCCAGCTGTAAAATACTGCTTTCTGTCTGTCTCTCTGGGATGATTAGAGACAATATTTTTTATGGTATCATTAGACATGTGTTTTCTATATATTTGTTTTAAATTTATCTCTTACCAAAGATTGACACAGAGCTAGGTTAGAGTTATGTTCAAATTGTGCATGAAGCAAGAAAATCCCTTGTTGTATATTACCCAGCAGTCTTACATTTCTGGTCATGCAAGAGAAAAATTGTACAATTTAGCGTTGTTTATATTATAAAATTGCCACATAGTTTATGACCAGCACAGTTTGGACAACTTTATTTAGTTGTTAGAGAGATGTAGGAGCCCACCACAACAGTATCAAGTTCATCATTCACCTGTGTATCATCAGCAAGTGACCGTTTAAGTGGTGGATGTGTTGACAGGATAATATTGTTACTAAGGTACTAACATAACTTTATTGTATGTTTGTCAGCTCCATCAAGACTTGCCAGGTACAAAATACTCATATGATGACATTGTTGTTTTCTTTTATGATTGTGATGCTTTCAAAAATAAATTGTGTTACAGAAATGTTTGTAGTTTGAATAGAGTGAGAAATACAATGGAACAATCAAGAGTGTCAGACTCCCTGATGGTTTCAGTGTGGGTTCCTCATGAGATATAAGCCAGGAACTTTGCTGCCACATAGATAATTGTTGCAGTATGATTCTAGAACCAGTGTAGAGGAAGAATATCCTTGGTCCTGCAGTTTACTATCCCATAAGGAAATCTTGACAGGGCATGAACAGGTACATAAGGTATTTGCTTGACCATGGATAACAGCAAAAAAAAATCATGTAATTGCTTTCTTAGGTACAATTACAGTTCGTTAACAGAAGTAGTCCTTAAGCATAAACTATGAAGAAATCTGCATTGCACGAATCAAAATATTAAATTGAATTTTCGAACTTAAAAGGATTCTGCGGTATGGTATGACCTTCGATCTGTGCAGATGACATAACTTCGTCATTTTATGTACGTATGCGAGGTATGGCTCAGGTGCAAACAACTATGACAACGAAATTCAAAGACAATTATATCCCTGGTTGCACATAGTTTTTATTTATTGGATTATTATAGACCAGGACTTTGAAATAATAATAATTAAGAATTGGTCACAATTTACGTATTCATCCCGTTACCGGCGTTGATGGTGATTAAAACCTCAAATCTTACGTGATTATAGTACTCTGTGGAGAATTGTCCTCTGTGGTATAATAGCACGGAATACAGGAATTGTCGATAGTAGTTGATGTACTACATTCGGTTCAGTGTTTTGTATTACAACATGTGTTGATGGAAAGGAATTGTATTATCGGGAAACCATAAGTGATAAAAATTAATTAGAAGTGTAACTGAATTTTAAGAGGGGAAAGAATTTATAAGTAAGTAGACAAATGCCTGGTTCTCACTTATATGTAATAAAGTTATTACCAGTTTGCCGCCACCTTAACATTTAAATTGTCGTTCCTTTTCATGCGTAAATGTATTGCTGTTTGAAATAAAACTATTATTACTAAATTCACAGTACGTTGACCCATACCTGCCAGTGAATTCAGTTATTTAAGTTACTATATTTCAAAGTTCTCTAACCTATGTAATTACACATTCCGTGTCATAACCTTAAACAATTCGTTTAAAGTTGCTGGAGCACTATGATAATTCATATGTAAAGCTATACGAAAATACGTTTTCCCGAAATATGTGTTTGTTGTCGGTTTTGTATGTATTTTAACAACTTACATTAAACCATTAAAGTCACGTAATTATGTCATACATTCGAATAAAACTTTGCATACATATTGACCTGGACAATAGTTACCGTAGTAAACCAGTTAACACGGCTGAATGCCCGAGAAGATTTTATTGATTGTACTCGCCGCGATAGTCTCAAATCCTATATTGAGCTGGACATTTTATAATTATTTCATTATATAGTTTCATATATTCTTCGTAAATCGTGCAATTCAAGGGTTAATTTTACATATTTAGGTTTGAAAGGTAATATGTGATCTGTGGGAGACAGAATTTTAACCTCTAGTGTTGTCTGTTGCATTTACATTGACGCTGAAGCCATCCTTCCTAATTTTTTCTTTGTAGAGATATGTGAAAAGATAATTGTTATTTGTATTGTGTTTTGTTGAATTGAGTAGAGTAGAGTACCACTTATTTTTTGGTCCATATATTATAGTTTATTTTGACTGTTTAACTTGATATAGGTATGGATGCTGACTTGTATGATGAGTTTGGAAATTACATAGGACCAGAGTTAGAGTCAGATGAAGAAGAAGAAGAAGGATATGGAGACCGAGAGCCTGAGGCTCAGGAATATGATGTAAGTTATCCTTTAGGATAGTAACATATAGTTGTATATAATAGTTGTGCCTGTTTAGTCCAAATTGTGACATGAAACTTGTTTACCTCCACAAGCCTTAACACTTTATGATTCACAGTCTCCCTTGAAAAGTTAACATTTTTTGACCATGTGCCACTGTTTACATGTGGTCCAGCTGGCATCTCGCAACAATAAATTATAGATGTTTGTCACTTGCAAAATCTGAATTAAATTCCATCACTAATTTCATTTACAGTCTCTCCAGGTTTTAAGTACAGTATTCTCTAAATAATTCACTTGACTTCTGGTTTGTTAGTGGTGGAGTAAGAGTTGTCATCTGGTACGGGTATTACATTTGTATCTGCAATAAGTGAACTTGAGCAATATGAGTAAGCTGTACAGAATCACAAAGGATAAATTTCCACTTTCTTTGGGTAATCTTTGATTTGCAAGAAATTTTTATTGTTGTTTCAGGATGAGGGGGCAGAAGACCAGGGAGAAGAGATGGATACAACACCGATGGCTGTGGTATTACATGAGGACAAGCGATATTATCCAGCAGCACTAGAGGTGTTTGGTCCAGAGGTGGAAACCATTGTTCAAGAAGAGGACAATCAACCTCTGGACAAGCCCTTGGTTGCACCCATAAAGAAGAAGAAGTTTCAACTGAAGGAACAGGACCTTCCAGAAACTGTTTATAACATGGAGTAAGTAATGGTGATTTCATAAGTAATGAGGTGAATTCAGTTATCTGTTTATTTCTGATATATGTTTGTTTCTGTGGAAAGGTAGGTGTATATTACCATCAGTGATTTGTGTGTGTATATATTGTACATGTTCTCCAACCTATAACAATGTTAAAACCAAGAGGTACTTTTTCATGAAATTTCAAATGTCATCATTATTTTTTTATGTAATTCTCTGTTATATTTAATGACCCTTAGATATGGCAGATGTTTATGCATTTACAATAATATTAAAAGCCTAACACATCACTAACCACTAGAACACTAACACTTACATCCAAGTACTTAATTACTCACCATGCTTGATGGTCTTCCCATCTCAGTTGACACTAAATTAGCAATGTAGTTGAAATAGTGTCATATGTGACCTAACATTAGTCATTCATGCTTGAATATGTTGGTATTGGTTGATAATCATTATTTGCCTGTTGGATATGTTTAATATATGTTTTTGGGTTCACTGGATGGTAGGTTTCTCGCTGACATGATGGACAATCCCAACCTTATCCGCAATGTGGCACTCATAGGTCACCTACATCATGGAAAGACCACATTTGTTGACTGCTTGATCCGCCAGACCCATCCTGGGTTTCGGTCTACAGAGGAACGCAATTTACGCTACACTGACACCCTCTTCACCGAGCAGGAACGTGGTGTCGGCATTAAGGCTATTCCTGTAACTTTGGTTTTACCAGATGTTAAAAACAAATCATATCTCATCAATGTGTTTGACACACCAGGTATTGCAAGATGAAGGTGTTGTTTCTTTTTAACCTGTTTACTCTGTTTTGTACGGAAAGATGGGCCGAATGTATTATCATGTGTATCTGTCTGAAGTCTCTCTTTTCCATAGTAGTTTTTCAACTGATAGATTTTCATTAAATTTTGTACAGACTTCAGTGACCAACCCAATCTTTTTTCCTTTAAATTTTCCTGCCATCTGTAATACCCACATTGGGGCTGTGCAGACTTCTGAGGTGGATGTGACAGTAATAGCACCTCTTAGTTTAGAATTCTGAAATCTTACAATATCCTTGGAAAATATGCAGCTTTTGTCAAGGTACAATAATATTTAATAGTTATAACTAATGAACCACAGGAGTTAAGACATGTGAAGTTTTGTGTGGAGATAGATCATCATATTCTGTATGATCATTTACAAATATGTAAACAATTACATTATTATGATGGTGTGAAACTGATGTTTATGGACAAAATTTAACAAGTTTTATGGTCACTATGAAGAGATGGGGAAAATATTTATGTTTGTGCAACAAGTGATGAAAGTATTTTCTCTAAAGATTTTCCACTGTTAAGGATGATAAGCTTAAATCCAAGCTCTCATAGACCTTAGTTAGACAGACATGGTAATTGTGAGGTGATGAATCAACTATGATTATGAATGTTTAGAGAATTATTGTTTTCACTAATTGTATTATAATGGCATTTAAATTTTAAGAATTTGTTGTATCAAAATTTTAACTGTAAGATTGCAGTTGAAACATATCAGATCGCATAAGTTGACATTTTCTTTGTAGGACACGTCAACTTCTCAGATGAAGTGACAGCTGCAAAACGTATATGTGATGGAGTAGTGCTGTTTGTGGATGCAGCAGAAGGTGTAATGCTGAATACAGAACGACTTTTAAAGCATGCTGTGCAGGTAATTTAGTTACAAATATTTGTGTTAGTCATCGATTGATTTATTGGTGATTGCGTAATTGTCGGCATATCACGAAACTAAATCTGAACTTTGTAGCTAAATTTAAACCCAAGTTTTTATTAGTGAAATGTCTTGTGGTTATACTGCCATGTTAAAGTCATCTGGAATTAGGTAGTGTGAAATAAAGCATTTACCAAGCCATACAAAATTAAAATGATGCCAGAAGAAAAGCCTGTCTTACTTTAACGCTACTGTGGTCTACTTCAGGCTTCTGGGCAATAGTTCATACAATAATAATATTTATTAGATGCTGATCATATGTTACGATTCACATGGAAATAAAGTAGTTTCTTATTAATTGGTTATTCATTAGTATGTAATGAGATATTTATACTATTGAGAGTCGTAATATGTAACCATGTCAATGACAGGAGAAGTTGGCCATCACAGTTTGTATCAACAAGATAGATCGACTAATGTTGGAACTGAAGCTGCCACCTCAGGATGCGTACTACAAACTGCGACATATTGTCGAAGAAATCAACGGCTTACTAAGGTGAGGTGAATTGCAGCTAATAATTAAGATTGTAATATGCCACCTCTTTGTGGCAAAGTCATGTCATGTGATATGATAGATGGGTATGAAATGTGGTTTGGCAGGTGAAAACTGAATTGCTCTGAGAAATATCGACCCTCCACGCCACCTTGCCCAGATGTTGTGGAGATACACCTGACCTGTACCACACTGTCCACCACAAATCCCACATGAACACCCTGGAATTTAGCC